CTCGCCTGGGCATCGTTCTTGGATGGGCTGGTGGGCGCCTCGAAATTTCGAAGGTCCGCGCGGATGCCTTGGGACAGCGCCGGGCCGCCAAGGGGATCCAACAACTCTCCGCGCAGGAACCTCCGAGAGTCAGTGCTCGTCTAGCATTTGCCGCTCCGGACCAGTTCGCAGAGGACCCTCAGACACGGGTGACCTTTGGTGCGTGGCTTCAGGGGGGCCGCGTGGGGGGCCAAATCCACGCGCACACACCACTGCCGGGGGCATCGCATCGCGAGTCGAAATCGCCGGCCCAGCCCGAGAACCGAGTCGCTCCGTATCGCATCGAGGGCGGCCCTGGCCCTCGGCCCCTCACCCAGTCGCTGCCGCCGTCGCCGCCGCAGCCGAGGCCGCCGTCGCTGCCGCCGCCGCCGCCGTCGCCGCAGCCCCGATCCTGGCAAGGCCCCCGCTCCCTCCCCCATCGCCGTCGCCGTCGCCGCCGCCGTGGTCGTGGCCGCGGTCGTCGTCGTCGTCGTCGCCGTCGTCGTCGTCGTCGTCGTCGTCGTCGTCGTCGTCGTCGTCGTCGTCGTCGTCGTCGTCGTCGTCGCTGTCGTCGCCGTCGTCGACGTCGCGGTCGTCGTCGTCGTCGTCGCCGTTGCTGGTTCGAGGCGTTGGTCCTTGACCTCGTCGAGCACCTCGCCGCACCTCTCCTCCGCGATCGCCATGGGCGAGCGCCCGTCCGCCTCCGCCGCCCCGGCGCCGCCCGCCGCGCCCCGCGGCTGCACCAGCTCCAGCAGCTGGAAGACGCGGTCGCACTGCGCCTCTGCGGGCGGCGCGAGGAGGAGGTGGAGGAGGAGGAGGAGGAGGAGGAGGGGGAGGAGGAGGAGGAGGAGGAGGAGGAGGAGGAGGAAACGGGGGAGGAGGAGGAGGAGGAGGAGGAGGAGGAGGAGGAGGAGGAGGAGGAGCAGGTGGAGGAGGAGCAGAAAAGGGAGGAGAAAGGAGGGCACGGATGCTTTTCGCCGGGGTTGGCTTTCGCCGGGCTTCGTTTCGCCGGGCTTCGTTTCGCCGGGCTTCCTTTCGCAAGGGTTGGCTTTCGCCGGGGTTGGCTTTCGCCGGGGGGTGGCTTTCGCCGGGTTGGCTTTCGCCGAACTTGGCCTTCGCCGGGGTTGGCTCTCGCCGGGGTCGGCTTTCGACAGGGTTGGCGTTCGCCGGGGCCGGGCGGGGGGCAGGCGTCGTCGCCGTTGGCGTGGCCGTCGCCGCCGCCGTCGTGACCCCCGGGAGCCCTTGAGGCGCGCCGCTTGCGCAGGCGAAAGGGGAGAAAAGACGTGGGGCTAGAACAGTTGGCACATCGCCGACAGGTTGGCGATAAGCCCCCAGACAGGGAAGCCGCGCGTTCCTGGGCGGGGCGGGGCCCTCAGGCGCCAATCGGCGACCCATGGGTGATATGGGGTATCTATGTCTCGTGTCCCCTCTGAGCAATTTCTCTGCTTCTCTTCGCCCCCGGAAGCGGCCAGCGGTCGTGGTGGCGGTCGCAGCTGGTGGGGGCACTGGCGGTGATAGTGGAAGCTGTGGCGGAAGGGGGCGCGCCGAGACCTCCGACGCCTGGGAAAAACAATTGTAGGTTTTTTTGGGCCGGGGTCGGGGCCGCCTCCCCCGCCGGTGCCTCCCCTCCGCGCGCCGCGGGGCCGAGCCTTGCGGAAGTTGACTTCCGCGTTGGGGTTCATGCCAAAGAACAGCGGGGACTCGGAGGGCATGGATTCGATGTGCTCCACGTACTTCTCGTGCGGGCTCGGCCCGGGGGCCCTCCACGACAGCTTCTGAGAGTACGGGATCATCTCCATGTCGTCGAGCAGCTCGTCCTGCATGAAGAAGGAGAGGTAGGTCCGGCACATTCTTCGGTCCCAGTCGTCGACGATGTGCCCGCCGTACATGATCTCGCCCACCAGATATCTGAGGTCCTCCCAAGGGAGCTTCACCGCGGCCGAGCCCTCCAGGTAGTTGTAGAGGACCGAGGCGGAATCCCTGAGGTCGCCCGCGGAGAAGGGATAGGTCATGTTGTAGCCGAGCGGGCCGAACTTCTTCCTCTCGATCATCAGGGAGTGGAAGTGGCAGAGGCCGAACAGGATGGCCTTGATCTTGCTGTCGCGCTCCTCGAACTCCTCCTTGCTGAAGAGCGCGAACGACCGCCGCAGGTTCGCCAGCAGCCCCTGCGGCGGCTCATTGGTGAGCTTGATGGACCGCTCCAGCACCCCGATCGGGATGCCCGGGGACGGGTCCGCTGACAGGAACAGGCGGAAATTGGAATGGCTGGTCTCCGCGGCGAACTGGTCCAGCCGCTTCTCCAGCTCCGAGCACCAGCGGGGCATGAGGTGGACGTTCTGCAGCATGACCCAGTGGCCTTCCTTATGGCCCATGTCCAGCTTCTGCATGGCGACAACGTCCTGGCCCTGCCCCATCGCGACGTTGTGGTAGTTTACGTTCGGCTGCAGCTGGATTGTCTTTCTGCCGAGCGCCTCCACCTCCTTGACAGGGTCAGCGCCCGGCGACAAAATGAAGAAAAAAGGCGTCATGCTCGTCGAGTCCTCGTAAGAGGAAGATAAGACCTCGATAAAAGACAAAGACCCGTCACAATCCATGTAATCCTTGCCATTCGGCAATACTCCTCTTATCCATCCGGACAGCGCCGACGTCATCCGGTCGGGCCTTAAACATCGAATAACAAGCAACTTCTTGACATACTCGGCGTCAAGGCGCTTCCAGTCGAGAGGCAACTTCGCCTCCTCCGGTGCCAGATCGTCGAACCACTCCTTGAAGCGGTTGGGCGCGTCCTTCTCCAGGTTCTGCGCGAAGAGGCTGAAGTCCTCTAGCTCAGTGAGCTTCAAGACCTCGGATGTGAACAGATTTGGACGCCCGAAATGGGTACAGAAAAAATTGGCACAACGCCCAACAACAAATGTTGCCCCAAACCAACAGCGGCCGCTGTTGGGCAGGTGGCCGTGTGTTACAAATGGACACAGGCCGCGGCGGCGCGGACAGCGAGTCCTGCTCAAAATGAACAGGAACTGCTGGTCGGCGTTGTACCCATTATTTCCGTACCCATTACGTTCCTGCCGAACATAGAAGTATCAAAACTGCTGCTCCCCGGACCTCTCATGGGGTGTTAACCAGCCTCGAACGTATCCCTATCCCTAAGATGGGCGAGCAAAAAGCGAGGACAACCTTAGGGACAGGCCCTCAGAAACTGAGGGAATCCTTAAGATCGGCATCGAGGCGAGGTGATGTCAAACATAGGGATAGGGATATGTTTCAAACTGGTAGGGTGTGCTCTGCCGGGATGCCCAGCCGAACGCAGCCGTGGGACAAGACCCTCCCAGGAGGCCCGGGATAGAAACAAAAAAAAAGGAGGGAGCAGAATGATGTCGGTACCAGTACGTCAAACCTCGGCATCACGCTCAGAATCAATCCCCAGAGGCCCTTCTGGGGGTCCTCCCTGGCCAATTCTTCGAGCCGCGGCCGGCCGTGGCGAAGAAGACTTCCAGAGGCATCCGAGACGAAGATGTCGTCGTCGTCGTCGTCGCCGCATGTACGCCCTCGAGGACCATGCACCAAGCGTGATTGGGGAGCCAGTCGGACAGGGGATACTCGGTCGTGATCGCGAAGGGGCCTCGCCGTCCAGGCCACAGCCCGGGGGGGGGAACTGTGCTCCCTCAGCACCCTTGATAGAAGAAGAAGAAGAATAACAAGATCAAGAACAAAAAAAAACACATAAACAGAAACTGTTGGCGCTCCGCGCGGATTTCTTGGATCTGCGCGCCAGGGGCGGCGCCGGAGGCGCCGCCGGGGGAGCCCAGCGCGGCTCCAAGAAAGCCGCGCGGAGCGCCACGAGTTTGTGCTGTGTTTTTTTTCCCTTCGACTTTGAGGGGCAACGTTGGGGTGGTCCAGCTCAGGAGCGGGTGGGGTGGGGGGGGGGGCTGTGCTCCAGCAGCACCCCGAGCGCCACAAGTTTATGCTGTGTTTTTTCCCTTCGACTTGAGGGGCAACGTGGGGGTGGTCCAGCTCAGGGGGGTGGGGGTCCTCCCTCCTCCTCCTCCTCCTCCTCCTCCTCCTCCTCCTCCTCCTCCTCCTCCTCCTCCTCCTCCCCCTCCTCCCCCCCTCCCCCTCCTCCTCCCCTCCCCCTCCCCCTCCCCCTCCCCCCCCCCTCCCACTCCCCACTCCCCCTCCCCCTCCTCCTCCAGCTCCTCCTCCTCCTCCTCCTCCTCCTCCTCCCTCCTCCTCCTCCTCCTCCTCCTCCTCCTCCCCTCCCCCTCCCCCTCCTCCTCCTCCTCCTCCTCCTCCTCCTCCTCCTCCTCCTCCTCACTCCTCCTCCTCCTCCCTCCCTCCCTCCCTCCCCCTCCCTCCCTCCCTCCCTCCCTCCTCCCTCCTCTCCTCCTCCCTCCTCCCTCCTCCTCCTCCCTCTCCCTCCTCCCTCCTCCCTCCTCCCTCCTCCCTCCTCCCTCCTCCTCCTCCCTCCTCCCCTCCTCCTCTCCTCCTCCTCTCCCTCCTCCCTCCTCGTCCTCCTCCCTCCTCCCTCCTCCCTCCTCCCTCCTCCCTCCTCCTCCTCCTCCTCCTCCTCCTCCTCCTCCTCCTCCTCCTCCTCCTCGTCCTCGTCCTCGTCCTCCAGGTGTGGGGGGGCTGTGCTCCAGCAGCACCCCTGGAGGGGCAACGCTGGGGGTGTCTATGGCTCAGGGGGGGGCGCCCCTCGGCCCGCCGGCACCGCCCCGCCGACGCCGACGCCGACGCCGACGCCGCCGACGCCGACGCCGACGCCGACGCCGACGACGACGACCGACAACGAACGACAAAAGACGACGAACGACGAACGACGAAGAACGAAGGACGAGCGACGACGACGACGAGCGACGACGACGACGAACGACGAACGACGAACGACGAACGACGAACGACGACCGACAACCGACGACGATGACGACCGACGACGAACGACGAACGACGACGACGATGACGACGACGAACGTCGACGACGACGAACATCAAGCTTGGATCGGGGATACTTCGCCGATAGATCGAAGATGTGCCACCGATAGCACATCTGCGTGGTCCCTGGCGGGGCGGGCCAGCGAACCCCTCCGCGGCAGCGAACGGGGAATTGGGGGTCGAGGCGTTACCCGGTGAGCCCAGCCCCCCCTTGACGTTGCCTCCAGCCCCTGGGTGATGGGCCTGTTTTCCACCACTACCACCATAAGTTGGAGGGGGGAAGGAGGAGGACGAGGAGGAGGAGGAGGTGGTGGTGGTGGTGGAGGACAGTGGAGGACCCCCTCCCCCTCCAACTTATGGTGGTGGTGGAGGAAAACAGGCCAATCACTGGTGGAACCCACTCCATCGACGGCGTCTCGAGATGGAAGACACAACAACCACGTACATATCGCCTCTCATCCAGACCAATGGTTCCCCTCCCAGGGTCAAGGAGGACGCAGCTATACACCTACACCACGGGCTCCGGGCTTGGCCAGAAGGCACACACATCGATCCTGGGACCAGGATCGGTCTGGCCAGGATCGGTGTAAGTGTATGGTCTGGTCGATACCCTCGGAGGTAGGGAATGCTGGCAAGGCTTCGGACTGCGCGCAGAAAACCTCCAGAGGTACTCCAGGCTGAGATCGACAGGCTCCCCTCCAGAGTGGCCCGAGACGGTCTCGAGGAGGAGGAGGAGGAGGAGGAGGAGGAGGAGGAGGAGGAGGAGGAGGGAGGAGGAGGAAGAGGAGGAGGAAGAGGAGGAGGACGGAGGAGGACGGAGGAGGACGGAGGAGGAGGAGGAGGCGACAACCCGATCATGGGGCGCACAGCGTGTTGATACCGCCCCAGACCACTCGGGCGACCTGTCGAGGCCAGCCTGGACCACACACCTTTGGAGGCCGCCAGTGCGCAACCCTAAGCATTGCCGAGGGCCGCAGCTCCCCCGGCTGTGGCTGGTCTGGCCTCGGAGGAGGAACTGCAGGTACGACTCGTTGAAGGCCTCGGCGAGCTGCCCAAGCTGCAGCAGGCGGAATGTGAGCATGGCGCAGAAGATCAGCTTGTGACTCTCGAAGAGCCCGCGGCTCACCTTGCCCGCGCGGACCGAAACGCGAGGCTTGAGGATAGATCGAGGTTCGAGGTTGTGCTTGCATGTTCTTCTATGCGGGCGCGTCTGGTCCTGCCGTCCTCCGGGGCTGGACCTGAACGTCGTCGTTCGGCTTGTGCTCGTTCGTGTTCTCTGCGTGCTTTCCGGTACCTCCCTGCCAAAACGAGGCACAAAACAGAGCCGAAGCCCAGCAAAACTGCCTCCTGGCCCAGCCCCGGCGGCCCTCCCGCGACGCCCCCGGCTGCCACTGCCGGAGCGGCCTGGGAGTCCTGGCCTGGACGCGCCCAGGGGGGGGGATCTGGGCCAAGGCCAGTCTCAGTGCACTGCATGCTCTTCTCGCAGATAGGATTGCAAAAAACCGAAGGATTGCAAAAAACCCAAGGATTGCAAAAAACCCAAGGATTGCAATCCTTCATGTCTGGACCTCGGGTCGAGTCGGGCCTGTCCCTCTACAGGGGGAATGCTCAAGGACAGTCCACAGATACTCTGGGGACGATGTGTTTTGTCCACTTCTGAATGTTTGTTGTTCGGTATGTTTGGGGAATGATTCCCTTTTCGTCCAAAATCCGCCTGTAGGGGGACATGCCCGACCGGACCTAAACCTCGGGGGATGTTTGGGCGCGCGAGAGCCAACAGCGAGTGTCGTACCGAGAAAAGGCCTCGTAGAACCGAGCCGGATGGCAGACGGCGAATGTCAAAAGCTCGAAAGGTAAGGTCACCACCAACACCTCCCCAGTCTCCGTCGCCGTCTCCTGTTCCTGCTCCTACTCTGCTTCTCCTCCCTCCCCCGATGTCTGGCACCGTGAAGCAAGCACAGCCTCGTGAACACCAGAACACGGTCGGAGCTCTCGAACCTATCTCGATCGATGCTCTCCTCTTCGAACTGGGCCGATCAGTGATGTTCGACCTCCGTTCTGCCCCACCGCGCCCGCATGCGAGGACAACGGCTTCCAAACCGAGCCCAGGACATGCCTGTTTTCCACCACCACCACCACCACCACCAGTTGGATGGGGGGAAGGAGGAGGAGGAGGAGGAGGAGGAGGTGGGGGAGGAGGAGGAGGAGGAGGATGAGGAGGAGAGGAGGAGGAGGAGGAGTAGGGAGGTGGTGGGGAGGAGGACGAGGGCCCGCTCCTCCTCCAACTTAACGGTGGTGGTGGTGGTGGAAAACGGGCCAACCACTGGGGGGACCCACCCCATCGACAGCGTCTCGAGATTAGGCGACGAGCCCAGGGGGGAAATGAGAAGGAGAAGGCCTTCTCAGAAGGCCGCGGGACTTCTTAGAAGTCCGGGGGGCTTCTGAGACGTTTCCTTGGCCTGTTTCGAATGCAGACAGAACTTCTCAGAAGCCCTCTCAGAAGCCCAGGAACTTCTCAGAAGCCTCGGAAGTCCCGCCCCTTCTCATTTCCCCCCCGCGCCCGCCGCCGAGAGATGGAAGACACAACAGCCACGCACATATCGCCTCTCATCCGTCACGACCGAGATCGTTTTGGGCGACTCCGGCCGTGGCGGCGAGCGACCCCTGCCGAGGAGGCGCGAGACGGCGAGCAACGTCAGACTGGACCCCCTCTTCCTCCCTGGCTTTGATTGGGGGGGGGGGCACTTCGCCGGCCCCAGGCGCCCGCTCGGGAGGAGGAGGAGGAGGAGGAGGAGGAGGAGGAGGAGGAGGATGCTGATGCTGATGCTGATGCTGATGCTGATGCTGCTGCTGATGATGATGGTGGTGATGATGTTGAGGAGGAGGAGGACGAGGAGGAGGAGGAGGAGGAGGAAGACCGCTGGCCGCATCCAGCCGCTGGCACGACGGCCTTCCAGGAAGCATAGGCATGACAAGCTACCACCGGAGCTCCTCCATCAGACCTCCTCCTTCTCCTGTGCGTGCGCTCGAGGAGCGGATGGCGGCTGACCCAGCGGAAGATGGTGATGCGGATCGAGCGTATGAGCAGCTCCGTGCGGAGCTGGAGGTCATCCGACCTCGGTCTCCGCCCGCTTCCCTGCTCACCCCGCCGTCCCTCCACCTCCTCCTTCTTCTCCTCTGCCTGCTCCTGTGTTTCCCTCCTCCCTTCCCCCTCCCCCCCCCCCTCCTCCTCGTCATCCTCGTCCTCCTCGTCCTCGTCCTCGCCTCCTCCTCGTCCTGCTCCTCTTCCTCCTCCACTTTCTCCACCTCCTTCCCGTTCGCCTCCTCCTTTATCCCTCCCTCCCTCCCTCCCCGCCTCCTCCTCCTCCTCCTCCTCCTCCTCCTCCTCCTCCTCCTACTCCTCCTCCTCCTCCTCCTCCTCCTCCTCCACCCTCATCCACTTCCTCCCCGTCATCCGTTCTCCTCATCATCAATAACACCTCTTGATCGGCCTATCATTATTTTTATCCTCCCCCTCCTCCTCCTTCTCCGCCTCCTCCTCCTCCTACTACTACTCCTCCTCCTCTTCCTCTGGCCTCTGGCAGGAGGTGAAGCTCTTCCAGCCTCGGGCTCCGGCTCCGCCGTCGCCTTGTGCAGCCTCCTCCTCCCTGCCCCCTATCCATCCTCTGCATCCCCCCCTTCCCCAAACTTCCTCATTCCACCCACTCCGGCCCTCCATCTCTTCATTTCCACTCGCTCCCTCCATTCCTACCTCCTACCCCTCCTCCTACCGCCTCCTCCTCCTTCCTCCTCCTCTCCTCCTCCTCCTCCTCCTCTTCCTCCTCCTCTTCCTCCTCCTCCTCCTCCTCCTCCTCGCTCCTCTTTCCACTCGCCCTCCCTCCTCCTCCTCCCCCCCTCCCCCCTCCCCTTCCCCCTCCCCCCTACCTCCCCCCTGGCCTCCTCCTCGTCCCCGTCCCTCGCGCGCGCAGGCTCTACACAAGCGCCTTCATCTTCCGCCACGGATCCCTCTGGGCAAGAATCCCCCTCCCTGACGCCTCCTCAACCTCCCAGCCTCCCTGTCCGTAATGGCTCGCCCTCCTCCTCCTCCTCCTCCTGAGCACATGAAGTGCCTGGAAGAAGGAAGACCAGGCTTACGCGACAAGGCCTCAGTAGCAAACGAGAGACAGGAGGCAACATTACGCAGGTAATGGGAATACGCATTCCGAAGATGACGAGCGCAAGAAGGTTTGCCATCAAGGGCACAGAGGAACCCCAGAGTGTCTGAGCTCAGGGGGGGGATGAGCACAAACACACACACACACACACCATGAGAACGATATGTGGTAACATGCGGAAAAACGCGAGGTTATGACCGAAATGGTGTGCGGGTTGTGACTGGGTCGGTTGAATGTGCTGTGTTGTGCCCTTGCCGATAGGAGGCCAGCTGAGACGATGTGGAATAGGGGTGACTAGCAGACGTGAAGGAGGATACGGAAGAGGCAGAGGGCATAGCGGCGACAGGGGGGAACCAGATCTGCTGGCGGGGCCATGGTGGCAGGCCGGGCAGCCATGGACACTCGGCACAACCGTGGGCGGAGACTCACCGGGCAGAGCGCCGGGCAGTCGTGACAGCAGCAGCGCACGCAGCCATCGCGCTGCCCTGAGGACCACCGAACGCGGAGCGACAGGGGCTCTCTCCTGGCCACGGCGAGCCCGACGACCCGAGCCCCCTCCCGAGACACAGCGTGGTCTTCGGGCCGCTGGTGCAGCGTCTTGGCCGCGCGGTGGGCGCAGAAGGCACGGTCTGATGACGCGCGTGATGGTGGCAAGCTGTGGGGCTGCCATTCCGCCGGTGGGCCAGAGCGGCCCACCTCTACGCGCCAGCCCAGAGTGACCCGCCTCCTCTGGTGGGCCAGAGTCCCCTGGCCTGTGCTGGGCAGGGCTGACCTGCCCGAGGTTGGATTGGGCATCAGCCATGTGGAACTGGACAAGCGCTCCTCCCCAGCCTCCATCACTCAGAATCCTCCTCCTCGTAGTGTGGATCGGCTCTATCATCGTGGGCAAGCAATGT